ACACGGCGATTTAAACATCGCATCATAGCGATGCGCGCTCGGTCGCGGTGGGCGCCCCTTCCCGTTTTTTCGGTATATTTTTAGCAATATCGCGTATAAATACTCCGTCGAGAAGAAACGTTATTTCAATGTAACACCGATGAGCAGCAATCGAATCGAAAATGAGCAAGGGCTGCTGGAAATTCGACGAAGAGGACAAAGGTAAGCGCGTGATGATCTCTCTCTCTCTTTCTCTCACTCTCTCTTTTTCTCGTTCTCTCCCTCTTCAGCTCCCGAGAGAAAAATTCATGAAAACAATCGATATTCCACGCATTCCGCCTCGCACTCTTGCGGCCCGGAAAAGCCGGATCCCCCTCGATTTTCCACGCAATTTTACGCTTCAGATATGAGATCTTTATCACAAATTACTCCCATAATGTTTTTCATATCGATTAAAGAGATAATCGTATGCTCATGCCGTTGCGTGTAAACACGCGACTTTTTCTTCTACATAATTTTTTTTTCTGCATAATTTCTTCTTGATGTAACTAACACCCAGGTATGTGTGTAACGTTACGTAGGATACCGGCTTTTCTCCTTAGGGATACAAAGATCGTTGAAAAGCATGAAAGATTAATTTGTAATTGGAATCGATGTTAATATCGTCTAAAAATAATTCGCACTCAAGGTAGACATATATAAAAATAGGACATCGATACAAGGAGAGAAAACACATAGCACTGTAGAGATTGAAGTTTAACTCTGGATTAATAAAGGAATAAAGCAAATCTTATCTGTCAAGCCTTGTATATAGATCTGGAGGAGGAGGACACGGAGGAGGATAAGTTGTACAAGAAGTACAGTTCCTGGGATCAGACACCTGATATCCTGCTGGAGGAGATATTCTCGTACCTGACCATTCGCGAGCGTTATTATGCGTCTCTGGTCTGCCGATCGTGGTATCGTGCCTTCAAACTGCAGAACGTATGGTCTACTTTTACCTTGGAAGATACCACCCTTACACGAGGGAAGTTCAACTACTACAGCGGCTGGCAGTACGTCCTGGATCACATAAGAACGTCCACCTGCCTGAACAAAGTCGGAAGGAACTTCCGTACCCTCGTGTTCGAGCCCATGTTGAATTTCTACAATCTTTACGAATTCATGAACATGATATCGTGGTACGCCGAACGACAAGGATCAGACAACACGTCTGTGGCTGGTGTGGGTACCTACGTTCGTAGGTTGAAGTTTACCTTTCCCTGTAATATGGCGAACAGGGATGATCCTGATCGAATTAGAGTCTTTGGCACTGGTGGAAAACTGCTGGAAGCTCTCAAGAGATTGATGAGAAACCTGCAGAATCTCAGATGTCTGGAGCTGATAGATCTGATGCTCGACAGCAACGAAGCGTTGCACTTAATGGACGATATCTGTACGAATTGCACTCAGACATTGTCGAAATTGATATTAATAAACACCACGCGTTACAATTGTCCATTATTACATGTAGGAGTATTTATTAACTTAAACGTGAGTACATCAAGTGTGTAACAGTTGATAGGATTAGTTGATATATAAGTATCTGATATTTAATTAAAAATTCTTTCAGGTCTTAGTCATTAGCCCCCAAAATTTGCATGAAGATATAATAGAATTAATAGGTTATACAAAATTGAGGCATCTTCATATTCTACAAAATCGATACAGTCCAAAAGATACTACCATAAGATTGGTAATTATAATCTCTAACACACATACTAATCCTTTTGCATCAATAAATATTTATTCAGATTTTTATTTCAGCCAAAGAGATCATCTTGGATCAAGATGAAAAAGAGCAATCCTTATTTAAAAGTTCACTTTGAGATAGAGAGTCAAAAAGCCTCGGATATCCTTTTGCCTATCGATTTACTGGAACATACTGCTATACCGTGTCACAGTATAGTATTGGATAATCCAAATACACAAGTTAGTGAGAGATGATAATATGCGATTTTATATTAGAGACAAGTACAGAATTTTTACTTTATGCTAATAATGTCCAGCAGCTCTCGCCATCCATGGTGCTCACTCACGGAGCGTTTTTCGACTCGACGATACGGGTGTACGCTTTTAAGGGAGTTACGAGATACTATCTGCACAGGAGCTTCGCTAAGAGATTGGACGAGGCGTTAGTGCAATTCTGCCGAATGTGCCCGAATCTGCATACACTGGTAGCATTTTGTATTTGAATCAAAAAGCTTGTGATAGCTTTCCTAAAACACTGATGTTAACAACGCGACTTTACGATGTGCTGGCATGCGTTCGTACCTTTACACATTATGAGTCTTTCTTGCTATTGTGTGAGTGTAAGTTCCTCCTAACTATTCTATAGGCTTACTTATCCCAATGCTGCGCGTGCTAAATATTCAAACTGTTGAATGTTTTACAAGCTTCCTCAGTCTTCTTATTTGTAATATCTGAAATGTAAATATGCTCTTCTTTCTGCGTTAGGTGTAGTTAATCGAATAGTATAGTAGAATAATATATTAAATCACTCAGAACTCGAATAAATTAAGTCCTTAACTTTGAGATTTATTTAGACACAAAAAAATTTTATATTCAAGATCAATGTCACAAATCATCGATTATCTAGCTTCTCCTGAATGTCTAATATAACAATAACTAATTGTTAGAAAAGAATTACTCTATTTTTGTCTACAAATTCCTATTGATTTACAATATAGTGACAAGTACTTCTTCCACAGATGATCCGAGATAAAATATCGACTGCTACGATTTTAGAGATTGTCTCTACCGCAAAGTGCTTACGCTGCTTGTATATTCGACGAAACGTAGTTCTGAAGAGATGTGACAGAGCTTGGTCGAAAATTCTGGATAGATCACCCGAATATTATCGATGGATTAAGGTAAATAGCCGTAGCTACGAGAACACAGAACGAGAAGTGTCCAGAATATTGGGCTATCGATGGCACATGTTGTCTGAGAAGGAATTTAAAGCGCAAATAATCAATATGCATATATAAGCCGCTTATGGAGCGATTTATAATATATGTATATGTTACAGCAAAAACATAAAATTGGTAGTTGTATGCATTTACTAGTAAATTTATATACTGAATTGACAATATCTTAACAAATTTTTATTTATTAAAAATGAATTATTTATTTTTATTAAAACCTTGTGAATAATTATATATAATTACTAATAAAAGTATATAATTAGGATATTTTGTTTTTACTGTTACATGCGCGAACTCGCCTGTGTTTTTTAATTTCTAAAATCTTTTTATATAATTATATAAATTATATATATTAATTATATATATATAATTATATATAGTAATTTATTGTATTACGTCCGTCGTCATAACAGTATTTATTTATATACAGGGTTGGGAAGTGACGCGTTACTTGTAATGCCATTTTCGTTACTTTCTAAGTAACGGTAACGATATAACGAGTTAGTTTAAATACCTTTCTAATTAACAACTTCCTATGACCGTGTGACTTATTCGTTAGTATATCTTATTGTCAACGTTTCAACAATACTGTTAAAATCGACTGTTCAAACTCGAGTCAGAAGGATCTATATTTTTTGTAGTCAGAAGGATCTATACAATTTTATAAACTTGACACGGTTCCGTTTACGTATCTCTACGTTTCTTTTATATAATTTTATTCTGACTTTCTGTGCCGGATTTCCATTTTTAAAGTTTGTTATGTGAACTGCTGCTACTTGAGGTCAGTCTTATACTTTTTAAATTATATCCTTTTGACTAACCGTTACAAACGTCACTGATAACATCTGATTTTAATATATGATGAACGTGTTTCGATCTAGTCTTCCAACTGGTTGGATAACGTAATTTTGTTTTAATCTACTGATCTCTCATTTCGTCTAGCAGTATTCAACACGATATGCAGCTTTCGATCTTAATCTTCGTTTTCTTTGTCGCTAATAAGGGCTCAAATATTAGAACCGAAACGTACGAGCAGAATATTGTAAGATTCTTATTGATGGATTTGAATAAACGAAATTAGATTTATTATAGAATTATTTAATCTGTGCACTGATTATCGCGCTTGACTCCTATATTATCGTTTTGTTATTATTTTTTACAAAAAGTAACGATAACGGTAATGCGTTACTTTTATGAAATAATGTTCTCAACCCTGTTTATATAATGAAACAAGGCTATAGAAATTGATTGCCATGACTGTACGCTTAATATTAGTAATAAGTCCTGTAATTAAGTGTAATATTATTTTTATGTACCATTGTATTGTAATTGTGATTGTAAAAAGTTAAAATTATCGTGAAAATATCGAAATAGAATGAAATGTACTTAATTAATGTAATTATGATTTCATGACTGTAGTTTTTTTTTTTTTAATTGAAGTGACTGTGATCAACGTTTTTAAATCGTCAAAGATAACGAGATCTGTTCGGTATTTATTGGATTGTTCTATAGAGAAAGATGTATAGTAATAATAAAACAAGTAATTTTATCGTTGACGTTTATTTTTATATAATCTACATTTTAGTTTAATTGAATGTCATTACAACTTACATATAATTATATACAATGCTAGTAAATATTTCGTACATTTTACTCGTGTATACAATTACTATTATGAACGAAATAATTCCATGCATTTGCATGTTACAACCATTTTCAAATCAGACAATTTAATCTCTAGCAATTAAAACTGGTAATTTCATTTCCAAAATCAACATTTATTTAACATGCAATTAATATATATCCAAGAGAAAAACAATAACAGTTCAAAAGATCATCAATATTCGAGTTGATAAAACACTTAATAAATGTGATAAAATAATTTATGTGACATATAATCATTGTTACCAGCATTACAATTGTATATACACATATTTCGACTTGTATATACACGTGGATTTGTTAAATCATTAAGTATATATATCATTAAATAAATATAGCCATTATAAAGTGACAAGATAAATCACATATTAACATTGACAAAATTTATGCAAAGAGAAAGGGCGTACGTAACATGGAGAATATTTGTACAATTTCGATTTAAGAATCGACTGAGAAAACAGTAATTTGTGCTATTAAATATAGTTACAATAAATTAAAGGAAAAATTCAAATATATTTGTATTACACTAAAATGAGACAACCAGCATAGGAGAGTAGTAGAAGTAAGATTACGGTGCCATAGCTGCAGATCGTTTGTCGCGATTCTTGTTGCGCTGAATGGTGCGTGCCTTGAACGCGGCCGCGTTCATCAATGTCTACAAGTCGACAAAAAAGATAAGACACTTAGCCTTGTTAAAAACATGTTGTTTAAAACAAACAAGTGCATTTATGAATACTAACTCGCTCTAATTTAGTCGTTTTGATTGTGACTGGCGGAGGTAGAACTTTGTTGCCGAGGTGAAAGATCTCGCGCAAGAGTTGATTTTCAGCAAGATGGAAATTGATACCGGTGCCCAATAGCCGGCAGCAAGCGTTGTACTGGGTTCTCGCGCACCATCCCTCTAAATACAGAGTTTCCTGACCAAATCTCACATGCATCTCCGGAACGATGTCTTCCTAAAAGTAAAACAGAATGTGTAGCGCCTCATCGTATCTTGGCATGCAATCACCAAGTCTCATTTTTAAAACACAAACAGATATTTCCTTCGAGTAAATAGTTGCACGATATAACTACTTACCTCGATATAACGCAGAATATCTCTAAAATTAGCGCGTTGCTGCTTGCGATCTTTCTTAGCACGGTACTTGTTGGAATCCGTGGCGAGTTCCTTGAGAATTTCGATTAGATCGAGCGCCCAATTCTGCTCGTAGTCGCAGGAGAAATCACGACCGAGTTCGAATATCACCGCTAGCGCTTCGCCGGCTGATAGACGTACGTCGAGATGCGGTGATTCCAGCAATTCGCGTAATCGATTGAGTGAACTGGAAGAAACAAATTTTCACGTACTCATCGTCGTTTGACAACCGCACGTTCCCGCGTGCTGACAATTAATGACTTACGGCATGTAACTGTTCGTTCTGCCGCTCGCGAGTAAATTGTAGATATCCGCGGAGGTCATAACTGTTAGAAGCAGGGTCCATGATGAGATAGCTGCCACGTGTAACGCTGCCACGTCCGGGGATATGTTTGCGATCGCGCCGTTTCCCTTCAAATAAGAGCCCGAAAAGATAGATGACAGTAACTGTGCGATTTCCATGGTGTCAGTCGTATCGTTGCCCGACAAGAATTGATTCATGGCCAACGCCCAGCAACACTGAAATCATTTTATTAATATAAAAAGTTTGGTCATTAATAAATCGTACAAAAAGTACAACTTTTTTCACTACTTTGTGTGGGGATTGTTTTATATTTTTTCTTATATATTTTTCTTCATAGATTAAAAAATTATAATAATAATACATTTAAAAAAAATTAATACATTTAAATAAATATCATTTATATATGCCTCAATCATTTAAAAATTAATTCAAAATTGGATTAACAAAAAAGAAATTCGTTCTTATTTTTAAATAATATCTTAAAATGCCAATATGACTCCAATTGACTCATGACATTTTAAAACTGCACTTAAAGCGGCGTCTACAATGAAATTTTAAGGCGTAAGTCTTAAGCTTTAAGCCGTAAGCCGTAAGAAATTGATACAATCAAATGTGAGGCTTTACGGCTTACGATCTCTTAAAGTAAGATTGTGGACCTAGATTTATAGATGTCGTTTAAGACAGTCTTGAACATAAGATTGATTTCAAATGCCGGCCAATATAACATGGTAATCGTATAATTCAGGTTACCTCGGCACGAGCATGGACAGAAGCTGTATTGTCGTTAGCGATGAAGGTGAGAATCGATTTTAGATCTCTGCAGACCATCTCGGCGCTGTTGAAGGCGCCCAACTGGACGCACAACAGGGTGCTCAATCTGGCAGCTGTCGACTGCTCATCGCCGCGGCCCTTCTTCAAGCCACGCTCCACAGCATCCGTGATGGTCATCTTTCTGTCCTCCACGAAATCAGGTATATACTTGATGGCGAAAATTTTCTCTATACCATTAAAACAGATAATTCGGCCCTTCGCGCTCTTCTGCGTCAAACCGTCGATCGCCTCCTTCACCTTCTCCTCGAACGCTTCCTGCTGCGCGAGCTCGTCCACCTCGTTGTCATTCGCGTCCTCCAGCACACTACGATTGTCGGATTGACCGCTGGTCTCGCTGCACGCATCATTGTTGATTGAATCCTCATCGGATGTAAACTCAGCTCTTTTTCCACCTGTCAGCAGAATACAAAACATATGGTTCATCGTCTGTCCCTGCAGAGATATAAATGCAACCTTTTGTATGTATATATATATGTTTGTGTAGCTGTGTAGATACATTTATACATATTTTTCTATTTATGAATCTACGTGAGACGTGAATTATAATTAACAAATGCTAAAAATGCAAAATGATTCATATATGACAAGACACTTTGTTTAATACTGATTCATATATGTATATTTATTAGTATGATTCATATATATAGTAAAAAATTGTCAAGGTGCCATATGGAGTTCGAAACTTCACATGTATTTGTTAATACGTCAGTTTTAATAACGATAGATTTTAATATTCCCGACTCACCCAGAAGAGCGAGAAAATTTCTCAGAAATTGATTGGAAGTGATTTGATAACAGCTTATCTCCGTCGATAATAAACGCTAATTACGCCAAAGGTTGGGGGTTGAAACCTTATGGCAGTCAGAAACTATAAAAGCCTGACAGGCAAAGTAATTTTCCGAGTTGAGGAAAATAATAAGAGCTCTTGAAAGTGAATGTCGTGTTACATAATGTGAAATCTACACAGCTGTCTCATTAACGGGTTTCGGCACGTGCTTCGAAGCTGATAATTAAAACGTGAAAAATTAAGGTTCACGATTGCGATAAGTTACAGCACTGTGTTATAATTGTTTAATATACTATATATAATAACTATTTAATAATTGTTTAATATATACGTTTAATATATTATATAATAAACATTATTTAATTGTTTATTAATAAAGTAAAATACGAAATCTCGTTAGCTAATAATAACAATACGATGCATTTAACTGTAAAACCAGAGATTTATTCTTTATATATATTTACACTGAAAAAAAATCTTAATTTCAAAGAAGTATTTCTTTGCTCGTATTAAAAAAAATTATTTCTTTGGATCAATGAAAATTTCTTTGATCCAAAAAAAGAAATAATTTTTTTTAATATGAGCAAAGAAATATTTCTTTGAAATTAAGGTTTTTTTTTCAGAGTATAAGCAAATAATTTTCCTGTATGTAATACATAATTTATATTACATACATTTAAAAAAAAAATTATGTATGTAACGGAAATTTTATTTTTTGTGAAAGTATATATTATACAATACACACACACACACGTACTCGCGTGCGTATTAAGTAAGTTTTCAAAAAATAATTTCACAATTTTATATTCGCGAAAAAGTAAAGAAAATACACGAACGCGTCGCCGAAGTAATTAAAATCGTACACAGGAATTAAAAATTATTTTTAACTGCAATAAGTCTGTTCGCGATTCTCGGATCATTCAATTTTTCAGCTGCACTTATTTAAGTTTTATCGGCTAGAAGAAGATTATAGCTATCGCCAATTCGTCGGTGGAGCAGCGAAGAAAAAATATCGAAAAGCTGCGACTCATCCCAACAAATGCGCAATACGGGAACAAATCCGCAGTTTGAGCAGAGTCCTTGAGGTACTCGAGAGGAGGGGAAGAGCGAAGGGCAAAAGAAATATCTCATTTTGCGCGATAATATTCGTCCGATCGATAAACAGATAAATATCTAACAAAAAGAAAGCCGCGAAACATCAATAAATCAAAACAGAGCGATAAATCACCGATTGCCGTGGATTGCCACCGATTGCGCAAATTCTTAAGCCTGCGTCTGTCTCGCGCATTTGAGACTGCGAATTGCGAACTGAAGATCAGAATTTGACCAGACAGGTAGTTTTAATTTCAATCCGTTTCGTTCTGATTAGCTGAATTCTAATCTGCCTAAATTGACTAAATTCTAATTCTAATTTTCAGATCGCAATTCTCAACCTGCAACGCGTGCGACACGGACTTAGGTCGGAATCAGCCTACGCATTGAAGAATAAAATTGAAGATTGAAAGATCGATGTTTGACCAATCGGGACAAAAGGAGTCAAAATTTCATTGTCCTTGAAATTTCAATCTTTAATCTTTAATTTCAATCTTCAATGTATAGTCTGATTCCGGCCTTAAGCTTTAAAGATCGAAGAGATTGCGAGGATTGCAGATCAGAATTCGGAAAACGGAAACTGAAATTAATCGCCTGGTCGAATTCTAATCTCCAATTCTCACTGTGTAATGTGTGACACGGGCTTTACTCGCGCACATGTTGCGTTCGGCAGAAAAAGCGGCTCGGCAACTGCCATAAGGATTTTAACACGATCGACAGATACATTTAAATCCATCGAGGATTAAAGCGGGGAAGCTGCTTTTTCTATTGGACGCAGCCATCCGTCGTGCGGAAAAATATCAATCCGAGTTTAACAAATAAAAATAAACCGATCAAAAAAAAAGAGAGAACAAAGTGTTCATTTAGAAATGAAATACAAAGACGAGATTTATATACATACTGTACATATACATATCGCACGAGCCATATACGATACATTCGCCTGAGACAGCCGGGTGTCCCAGCCTTCGCTAATTATCATCGTTATCACAAAAGAAATACATATCCAACGCATGACTGACGTTGCTCGCCGCGCACCTCGCAGCTCCGATATTTAATTCCTATAACCTCTCACGAGGGGGGACGGGGGGGGGGGGCCCGTGTTTGTTAATCGCGAGCGCGAATGTCACGCGTATCTTTCGGACACGCCTCGTAGATCGTTTAGGAGGTGCCCTCCGTCCATACGACGCGTTATCTGTAACACGGCGTGACGCGATGGACCGCGTGTCGCGGGCTCCATGTGTCAGCAGCATGAGAGTCACATGGGAACCATATCGCCGTCCGCCATGAATCCCGGGAAACTCGCGTTTTCGCGCGCCAAAAAAGGGCCCGCTCGGAAAGACGGGGAGAGCCAGCGGACGGTGGGCGAATCCCGAGGGAGGGAAAAGAAGTGATTGATCGAGTCGAGGGTTCGCGTCGTGACGCAAGTCGACGAAATAAATAACGGATTTCATTCCGGATACGTGATTCATTCGGGACACGGACAAACGGATGGATGGACGGACGGACGGATGGACGGAGGCGCGAATCGATAATTTAATAATGTCGAGCGCGCGTCACGTGCGCGCTCCCCGTCAGATCGTAGGGCTCCTTTATCTTCTTCCCTTTAAACGATGAGGAAATGAGGGAAAAGAGAAGGAAACGATTCGGAAAAGCGTTTCGGATTTAATCAAAGTTGTGCGCTTACCGTACTTTCCTCTTCTGCCCCCTTTGCCTGGCATCGTTCCTCAGTTTGCTTATTGCACAATTGGTACTAGATAAAAGACTCGATCAAGAGGGTAAATGTCTTGAACTAATGTCTTTCTTTCGTATACTGAATACGCCACGTGAATTTTTCGTTGGGAGCAGACGAAAACTCATTAACATGTTGCGGAGAGTTCAGAACATACACGTCGAGACAGCCTACGGTGGGCTTTCTCAAGTGCACTGGCTTTTATCCCCCTCGCCTGCCAGCTAGATCGGACGAACGTGCTCGATCCGCCAGCGAACACGGCCGAAGGTATCCGAGGATGACACGCGCGCGAGCCAATCGGCGCTCGTGATTTTCGTTACGTCGTGAAGTCCGCGCAGAGTCGCGAGGGATTTAATTCGCGCGCGCATGCGCACGCCGGTATTAGGTCTGTTCTTTTTTTTTTTTTTTGAAGAAATCCGATGATATGTTTCTTTTGTTCTTTCTATTCCTGCACTGAAAGGTAAATTTTCACTGCTCTAAGGCCGGAATCAGACTACGTATTGAAGAATGAGATTGAAGATTGAAGGATTGAAGTTTGACCAATCCAAACAAAAGGAACAAAAATTTCTTTATCCTCATTGGTGAAATTTCAATCTTTAATCTTTAATCTCAATCTTCAATGTATAGTCTGATTCCAGCCTAATTCCGGCCTAAGTTGAACCGAGATTAAGTCTAGATCTACAATAGGTGTTTAAGCTTTAAGCCGTAAGAAATCGACCAATTACAGTCGAATCCGAGAAGAATAAGCGACTGTGATTCGCCCATTTTTTATGACTTAAGACTTAAAACACTATTGTAGATCCGGGGTAACCTCGGATTTAAATTCAACAAAGTTTAAACATGGAATCGTTTGTATTTCGTATGAAGAGTTATGAAGTACCATTAAGAACGTTTGTGAGTCATCCAGACATTTTTAATTAAATATTAAAATATCATGTATTTGACCGAATTATAGATATAGGCGCTACGGTCAC